CAGTCTCGAAGTAGCGCAGCAGGGAGTCTCCAAAATAGCGCAGCAGCCAAGTTCCTGAACCAGCATAACGCTGGATTTCTCCTGGTACCTTCTGTGTACGAAGTGGGCAACGGCCCAGCTTATGTAGCGCTGGGCCAGGACTGAAAACCCACGACCTGCGTTCTGGGCCGTGCAGATCGAAATCCGATCCACGGTCCAGATCGCGGGCTTTGAAACTGGTTCAGCCCTTGGCCTAAAACGGCCTACCTGGGTCCCTACTGGACGTCCAGGCCCTTTCCAGGATTCAGTTTCCTGGTACCTGGCTTCGAACTGGTCATGTGCGGGCGTATCCGGCCTCAACGTCGGCCTGGGTCCGAACAGGTAGCAATCTGTTCGAAAACAAAAGAAAAGGTCCAAACGTTTTTAGGAGCTCAGCCTTTGGGCCTGAATCTGGCCCTGGTCCTAAAACGTRTACCTGGCCACAAAACGGACAACAGTACAACCGTTAGAAAAACAGCAGCAAATAAATAAATAAAAKAATATAAAAATAATCTAAAGCTGGCGTTTTTCTGATGCAGGCCCAAGTAAGAATGCCATAGGGCCTTCAGGTTGCGGTGACGCAACCTGGGGGCCCTATTCCAACCTGGGGTCCCGTGAGGGGCCCGTGTGTAGGCTTTCAGAATGTAACACTGTGGGACTTTCTTGCTTTCAATGTGATTGTGCTATCTGGATTATGTCATCTCGCTATCTCTTATTTTCCTTACATTTGGAAAAAATAATAATTAATTTCGAAGGAAGGGATTAATTCCGAACGTGAATTTAAAGAAATGTCGACAAAGAAAAGAAATTTTGAAATAATTTCGTAAAAATAAGTAATGAATTTCAAAGTTCAAAATGTGAATTCAATATTTCGAAAAAGGACTAATTATGAGGGGCCTGTTGGTTGTGCTGAGGCAAAGACCGGTCATCATAATTGCACATCAGGTTACCGGTGAGAAATCTCTGGTTGGGGGCAGCATTTATGAGGTACGTTGCTCTCATCCTTATCTACCCTTTTCATCTCTTCCTACCGTGAGGAAGTGAGTTATTGTCTTGAGAGTCCTCTCGATGTAAGGTGTCGCGAGCGCTCAACCTTGAGAGTCGACATTCTTCCTGGGCAGCAAGCTGGTGGGAGACGGGCGAAGCCTCTAAAGGGCCCTGGACGAAGCACTCGGGTCACGGTCACCATGCCAACCTGCTGGGACTAGTACACGCATGCTTGGGCAGCAAGTCCTTGGTTCTGCTGCTTGCGCAATAGAGGTCGTGCCGGGCATGCCAACCTTTTATGAGACGCTTACCAGACCGTCTATAAATATTTCTGGTTGGGAACTCGGATTGAATCTGGCTGTGATCGTCGTCCTGACTACGACGTTAAATAATTCCTGAGGAGATGGGGGCTCTCCTAAAATTCCTCCTGATCAGCCAGATCAACTGGGTGTAAGGCTCGTTTCGTACGAGGGTAAATAAGAGTGGACTGGCTGGCATGTTCGAAAATGACTTGGGGCACAGGGGTGGGCCGGATTGCACGCCTTCAGACACGCTGCTCAACCAGATGCTCAGGAACGTTGACACAAAGAGACC